CAGTGCCCTAATTAACATAGCATTATTTACGCAGAAATGCCTGGAGACACAGGTGAAGAGGACTCTGTTAGTAATATGTCAGAAGACCTACAGGTTGCAGATATAAAGAAAGTTTCTGAGCCAGGTAACTGAAAAGTCTTGTATTTTAAATTAAGATGGATTTCTAAAATAAGCTCACATTGTAATTATGGTTAGAAAATGCAGAGGCCTAAAAACCTTATAAGCAGGAGATAATGTCACAGCGATAACCATACTTTCAGTGCAGGCATATATGCACATTTACAGCACTCTGCTAAATTTAATAAAACACAGTCTAGCAAGTAATGATTTCAAAGATTCATGACCCAAGATGTAAAGAAGAAGAAGCTACTGCTTTAAGTAACTTAACTGCAATGTATTACTGCATTTACTTTTATTTAAACTATGTCTTCCCAAGGATTAGAACCATCCAGTCTTCTGTGCAGGAACAAATAACGGCACTCTCTTTTTCACAATATAACATGATCGGTATTTAATGTAGTTATATAAATGCTCATGCAGGGGATGAAAACTTCATTATCACTACTAGGTCTGAGTATGAAGGTCTTTACAAAGAAACATTATGGTTTACATCTGAAAGCACAACTTTCAGAGGAAATAGGAGTTTAACATTCAGCTAGAAACACATGAATGTGTAGAAAACTGAAAGACCTGACTCTCCACAAGAGGACCTCATGATCTCTTTCAGTAGCATGAGGCAGAATATGGTCTAAATCAGGCATTAAGGAGTAGTCTTACAGAATTTAAAATGGTCTAACGTGAACTTAAAAGTTTTATTTTAATATCAAATTAAAAATCTTCTGACAGATGATGTTACTATAAATACTACTCCAGAGCATTGGGCAGCTCTGCGTATAACAAAAGAAACAGCTATGACAAGTAAGTAAAGACATGGTTGATCATAAAAGGTAATTTGAGGTATACCGGACAGTAGCATTTTTGTTTTACCATTCAACAGCAATTACATTTATTAATTTAAATTTGTTGACAAAGAAATAGGTAACTGGCCTTTTACCAGATCCCCATGGGCACCTGAGGCATTCATAGAATTCAGAGAGAAAAACAGGTTGTTATGAAAAGTGCATTACCTAAGGAACTTCATTTTGAGAGACAAAATATATAAGAAATCATATACACTATTTTGTGGGACTACTTGTAAAATACATCAAATCTTATTTCTCCCTGTCAACAAGTAAAACTACTTCACATCATTAGCAGTAATAAGGCACTGTAATAATGCATAATTTCACCAGTGCTACTAAACTGCCTGAAGCTACGTAACATTGTAACATTTTGGACTGCAATCTTCCAAATGAGTTATTTAAGATAAAGTTCACTGAATACTTCTAGTAAAGTTCTGAATACTCATTTACTCATGTACCACTTTAACATTCCTTTAAGATAAATGAAGGTGTTAAGACTTTCACATTCATTACCATTTCCCTTCTCAAATATATGTATTTTAACTGTTTGTTTGTTTGTTTCTGGGCAATTGTAATTGCAATCTGATTTTATGGGGAAAGATTAAAATAGCAAGTGTCTTAGAAGTGTCTCTGGCTCAGCCTATCCACTCTACAGACTACTGTTCAAATTTCTGTGGGGAAAAAAAGGCAAACCCACAGCACTCCATCATGAAGAGATGCAGTTTCAGTTTCCAGAATTCTTTCCCTTGGTCCCAAATGAACAATACAGGCTCAAACAATCTTATCTCAGGTGCTAAAAGATGCCTAACTTTAATGTTATTAATGGTAACATAATTAGGTATTATGTAAAGCAGAAAAAGACGCACGCTTTTGATGTAACAATATCATGGAGACCCTTTATTCTCCAATTGTGGTACATGCCTTTCCTAGTCAGTTCAAATATTTTTAACATGAGAGACTGATAAGTACGGAGATTGTATATACCTCTGTATTCATCAATATACTTGCTGATAGACAGTGTAAAAGGCAATCAGGCAGTGATGTATCACACTGGTTCTTTGGTATCAGCAGATGTCTCATGATCAACAGCCTTTAGGATGTGACTTTGTAAGTACTACTCCATATTCAATAGAACTTATGCAGAAAACTGTTTCTCAATAGGCATGTAATTATAATCTATATATACTCACGTGCCTTTAAAAAAATTGTAAAACCAGACAATTTGACATAAACAGGCATTTAGAAATTCTGTTAACCTTGTATCATGGTATCTTCCTAATTAGTACATGGAGTTAATGGACTTTGCAGTCAGTTATACATACACTTCTCTAGATAATACACTAGGTAGCCTGGGCAGACATCTGCTTTCTGGTAACCACAGCTGCAGAAATACAGAGAAGGGCACAAGCTGCCTCAAGCGCACATGCTTCTCACCATCTTACATATGAACCCAAGTTATTAGCCACAGTAACACTGTCACCACTGCCAATCTTTATAAACAGTCTAGTCAGGTTTGCCATACTCAAGTAAGGAAGAAAAATAAGATGGTATTAGTCAAAAGACAGATACACCAGTTTCAGGGAAATACCTAGTTATTTGATGTGTCATGGCATTGTTTTTCACCTCTACCCACACGTTTGCTACTCAAAGAGCAGCAAATGCCCACCCTAGAAGGAAAAGACAGAGATAAATCCTTACATGCTCTTTTACATTTTCAGCACACTAGCCAGCAGAGGGTGCAAGAGCATCACAGCAGTCACAAATCCATGTCTTTTTCAGCAAAAGCAGCTTAGGAAAGGCTGGGGCCACTAAATTTTTATCTTTTTTTTTTTTTTTTTGGTAGAAGATACTAATATTAAATAAATCTGGGAATAAAAAACTTATTTGGACATTTTGACTGATGTTACCTATTTCGTGGAATCACTTTTAAGGGCAGATAATTCCAGAAATCTATTTAGAAGAGCAAGTTCTTTGAGTTTACACAGGCAGTAGAGACTCATCAGTTCGAATTCCATGTACATGTACATTCCACGTCTGTCAACTTCACAGTACAACCACAGACTGTGTATAGGTGTTTGATTAAATCTGAAGTGCCAGGGAACAACAATGGAGATGAAAACAAGATTATAGGGAATGCCAGCAGTCCGATAGTTCGTAAAAAATATCTACAACAAGTATTGCTTCAAATAAATAACTTTTTTGTAATTATATTTTAGGATATTTGGTGCCCTGCATCCTTTACTATATGTCCTTCTCAGAACAAATTTGGAATAAGTCATGACACTGCCAAGATACATTCCTAAGCAAGGGCTTTTTAAAAATCTGGTTTTTAAGGTTAAGATCTTAAGTGGGTACACACTCAGGAACTTACCGGCTTGAGCACTTACTGCTGTGTGCTTGGAATTTTAAAATGTACAGATATAAAGTCAAAAGATAACATTTTAATATGTATGCTCCAGGCTGGTGTGAATTAAGAGTGTTTCAGAGAAGCACACGACCAAAAGTTCTTGATTATTCAGTGGCTTAGCTCAGGGCACACTTGGGCTGCAGACACAAAACCCTAACTGCATGCAAGTTGCCTGTACCCAGTCTCATAGTCTGCAGGACAGAAATGGCAGAAAACTTTGCAAGCTGGTGGAGCATAAACATAGGCCACACTCCGAAAATTCTCCCTACCTCTTGACATTTCCCGTTCCTTTTTTATGGTATAAAAAACACACATGAGAGTGAGGATTAGGAGACAAATTACTAATCTTGCCTCACGAGGCAGAAAACAGGGTAAGCAGTGATAGTGACAGAGTGCCAAAAGAGAAGAGAGCTTGCATCAGTCTGAGAGGGTAAAAGGAAGGACTGTGACAGTATTGCTTTGGTGCCTTGTGAGCAAGCGTATTTGCTGGCAATTGTCTATAGTTTCACTAAAGCTTCACAGTGGACAGAGCCACTGTGTTTTATCCATGCCAGGAACTGTCGATGGTTTGTTTTGTTTGGCTCAGTCTTGCTCTCCTCTTGCCTTCCCTCCAAAATCTCTGAACAGTGGCTTAGCAAAAAAAGCCAGGCTCTGTACCCACATTGTTGGCTAAGAGAAAAAATAAAAAGGCATATGGTGCAGGTCACATAGTAAAGAACGTCTGATGCAAACAAGGTCATATTGATTTGAGGGGTAATTTTTAATAAAATGGCTCTGGATGATGCTTCATTGCTCAATGTTTAGGGGCAATATTCTTGAATGGACTGAGAACAGGCTGGGAGCCGGAAAATGCCGTCATCGATCCACAGTGTGGCCTTCACCATCTAATCTCTGTACAGCAGTGTCCTCACCTGGTAACAAGGATCGGAAAGACCACTTGCATCATCCACCTGCCCATCCCTCCGTGCTGGGACAGAGGGGTGGAATCCTCCCTTAAACACCAGAGGCCAATGGCAGAGGAGCAGAGCTCTCCTCCCCGTGGAGGGGAGCCCAGGGGCACCTCTGTCACAAGGGGCCCAGCTGTGTGATGTAAACCCCTCACCAGCTCTCAGGACAGGCGTTTAGTACTTTGTCTTTATCAGGCAGGCAGGCAGCCCTGCAGATCAGTCGTCCAGGCACAGCACCCTGATGCAGCGTCAGGGCCCTTGTCCCTTTTGGGGATGATTCGGTGACTCTTGGCACCAGTCGCTTGAGAGTCTTTCAATAATTTCGGTCTGTACTGAAGCACCCCTTATGAAAGCACCATCTGGCATGTTCCGCTGCATAGAGGTTTAACAGTCACTACATGTATGTTACAACCAAGATCAGCGAACCATTCACCAAATTCTGATCCAGGTTTAAATTACTTAAGTTTGCACATTTAACCCATAAACTTGAATTATGCAGCTGTTACATGGGGTTCTGGATTTAATATTTAAGTGCACTCTGCTCTTAAGCCCACTACTGTGGAGAAATGGCAGCTTTAATGTATTAAGAGATTAAATCTTTAGCAGTAGTTATCATTAATGGCATTCTGAAGTTGGGGATCCTCAAGACCTGTTTAGTTAATTAGAATTGTATATTTTTTACAGCAATCCTTGAAGATGAGGGGGACTTTGCCAATTCCACCCCGGCAGCCCTGGAAGCTACACAAATAAAGAAGGAGACGATTGACATAGGTAGGTCAAGACTGTGTCTTGATGGTTCTAACAGCACATTCTACTTCAGTGGGAACTGCAGATTTCTAAGATTCATAGGTTATTCCCACACATTATACCCATTTTAGGTTATGATAAAATCTGGGCTTTGTTTTATCTCATAGTGCAAAAATGTATAAACTCTTTTTTCTCCTTCCCCCGATTAATAAAATGATCTTACTTTCCTAGACAATATATTCCCCTTATTATTCTAGAGGTGGTAAGACTGTATTAGATTGTGACACAAGTACTGTTATTTTTCATATACAGTTGTGCTAGAAAAGAGAAACTGGAGAGCTAAATGGCTGTCTCAGAAATGCTGAACATTTTATACCTTGTCTGTGTTTTCACACTACTTCATGGGAGTTCATTTAATTTCAGACTATTCACTATTGAACAATTACCATAAATATGCTGAATTATTTCACAAGTCGAACTGAAATGAGAGCCTCAGCGATATGTATACATTCAATGACAAGTATTTAGGAAAAGATCTGTTTTTTAAAAATGTTAAAATTTAACATTAGAATACAGTAGGGATATTAATCGTATGGAATAAATGAGCATAGAAACCATGGAAGGTCATGAAAAAGAGGCATCAGAGGAAATAATAATGACACTGAAACATATTGACCTGACATCCTGTATCAAAATATATTTTACAGTATATGATTCCGTGAACAACAATTCTTTGGCCTTTTATGTTGAGAGTTTCTACAATAGCATTGATATTGTACGCATCAGTATTTCTGTGATCCCGGCAAGAGCGTCCTTCTTGGCAATTATGTTACCTCAAGTTTGCGTGTTGAGACACCCTATCCAGCACAGCTTTTATGACTGTTTGGATAGGCTGATCTTGATTATGAAAGACAACTGTAACAAGTACAAGACAGCGGACAACATCAGAGCAATGCCATCACAGCAGTGACACACAGAAACACAAGTTATATTGAGGATAAAGTAAAGCTGTGTCCCTGAAAGTTCAGAGACATAGCGAGGTCACAGTAATACAAAGAAAAGAGTCCATACAGTGACACGGAATAAAGCATCATGCAAATCATCTGACTGCCTTATACACACAAATTCCCTGGTCCTGTCATGTAATACCCATTGAGGATAGTAATAACTCAAGTCAGAAGTACACAAGTGGCACTGCCAAAGGCAGAAAGAGATTAGAGAGCAGCATGGTTGAGAGAATAAGCACATAAATGAAAGCCATGGGGGGTTTTATAATAGTAAAAACAAAACATAAATCCTTGAAGAGTCCAGCAGTAGAACTGCTGCTCCATTTTGGCCCAAGGTTGTATTTCCAACAGCTGCAAGTGTTAAAGGAAGATGTAAGAATTCTCTTAAGAGTTACGGGGTAGCCTATTTATGAAAAACCATTTTCCTTCTAGTACCCCAAGAAAATCACACATGCTTATAAGAGTATAATTTCGGATTCTAAGTTTTCCATAGGTATGAAACTTATTCCTGCATATGGCTTATGAAATGCAAGTATTTGCCAAATCACTTAAGAGAAAACAAGCTATAAAGCAAATACAAATTCAGAGTATTACTCTGGGCATATGTTAGCAAGTGCCATTACAGAAAGCTAATCAAATGAACCTGGTTGTTTACCAACAACCTCTTATTTCTAACAGTCTAAACAATGCGCTCAGTTTTTCAAAACATATAAGGAATATTTACTTCTACCCTTTACTGAGAACTGTATTGAAAATAATTGGTCTATATCAGACCCTACCAAAATGATGAGAACTAATCTTTCTGTCTCTCCCAACCCACACAAAAGTGAACTTTCAGCCTCAGAGAAGTCCAAGCATGAGGAAATGAGCCCAGAGTCAGCAGAGCTGGGTTTTCATGTTCACAGATGATTTTAAGAATCCTAAGGGCTCCTGAATTTTCCTTCTGAAGGGAATAGGTTTTATGCTGTGAAAGAGTGCAAAGCTATTATAGCCTCACCTCTGCAGAGAGAGAAAACCTGGCTTGTAGGCATGCAGAATAAGACTATAATGATGTTTCTATGCTGTTAGAGGTGGAATTTTGAAGAGAACTCTGATACTGGTAGAATAAAAAATAGTTCTTCCGTCTTCCCTGATTTGTCATTTAAGCCACGTAGAATAGTTTCCAGGTAGGTAAAGGGAACAATCAGGCTCGCTCGAGATAAGCCCCCAGCAGCCACTGTTTGAGGGATGGTGTGCTAGTGAGGTCCTTTGGTCTGCCATCTTAGTGGAGGTAGGGCATGGAAGACAGGGATGGGGAGCAGAATGAAGCCCCCATAATCCAAGGGGAAATGGTCAGTGACCTGCTACACCACTTACGTACACAGAAGTCTATGGGGCCAGACGGGATCTACCCAGTGGTACTGAGGGAGCTGATGGAAGTGCTTACAGAGCCACTTTCACAATCATTTATCAGCAGCCCTGGCTAACTGGGGAGGTCCCAGTTGACTGACGTTAGCAAATGTGATGCCTATCTACAAGGGCCAGAAAGGGGATCTGGGGAACTACAGGTCTGTCAGCCTGACCTCAGTGCCAGGGAAGGTTATGAAGCAGATCATCTTGAGTGCCATCACACAGCATGTACAAGACAACCAGGTGATAAGGCCCAGTCAGTCAGCACGAGTTTATGAAAAGCAAGTACTGCTTGACTAACCTGATCTCCTGAACAAGGTGACCTGCTTAATGGATGATGGAGAGGCGTTTGTCACAGGTCTGTCAGCCTGACCTCAGTGCCAGGGAAGGTTATGAAGCAGATCATCTTGAGTGCCATCACACAGCATGTACAAGACAACCAGGTGATAAGGCCCAGTCAGTCAGCACGAGTTTATGAAAAGCAAGTACTGCTTGACTAACCTGATCTCCTGAACAAGGTGACCTGCTTAATGGATGATGGAGAGGCGTTTGTCGTCTACCTAGACTTCAGTAAAGCCTTTGACACCGTTTCCCACAGCATTCTCCTGGAGAAACTAGCTGCTTGTGGCTTGGATGGGTGTACTCTTCACTGGGTTAAAAACTGGCTGGCTGGCTGGCCCCAAAGGGTTGTGGTGAATGGAGTTAAATCCAGTTGGTAGACCATCACAAGTAGCGTTCCCCAGGGAACCAGTTCTGTTTAATACGTTAATTGATGATCTAGATGAGAGGATTGAATGCACTCTCAGTAACTTTACAGGTAACACCATGTTGGGTTGGAGTGTTGATCTGCTTGAGGGAAAGAAGGCTCTGCAGAGGGATCTGGGCAGGCTGATCAATGGACCGAGGCCAGTTGTATGAGGTTCAACAAGGCAAAGGGCCGGGTCCTGCACTTGGGTCACAACAACCCCATGAACGCTACAGGCTTGGGGAAGAGTGGCTGAAAGCTGCTCGGTGGAAATCTGTTGGTCGACAGCTGCTGAATATGATCCAGCTTGTGCCCAGGCAGCCAAGAAGGCCAACAGCACCCTGGCCTGTATCAGCAATAGTGTGGCCAGCAGGGCCAGAGCAGTGATCATCCCCCTGCACTGGGCACTGCTGAGGCTGCACCTCAAATCCTGTGTTCAGTCCTGAGCCCCTCAGTGCAAGAGAGACAGTGAGGTGCTGGCGTGGGTTCAGAAAAGGGCAACAGAGCTGGTGAAGGGTCTGGAGCACAAGTGTGATAAGAACGGCTGAGGGAACCAAGGGGGTTTAGCTTGGAGAAAAGGAGGCTCAGGGAGGACCTTATCACTCCCTACAACTACCTGAAAGAGGCTGTAGTGAGGTGGGGGTCAGTCTCTTCTCCCAAGCACAGGACACGAGGGAATGGCCTCAAGTTGCACTAGGGGAGGGTTAGACTGGATGTTAGGAAACACTTCTTCCCAGAAAGGGTTGTCAAGCATTGGAAGAGGCTGCCCTGGGAAGTGGTGGAGTCACCATCCCTGAATGTATTTGAGAGACACATAGATGTGGCACTCTGGAACCTGGTTTAGTGGTGGGCTTGGCAGTGCTGGGTTAACAGTTAGACTCCATGATCTTAAAGGTCTTTTCCAACTTAAACAACTCTATGGTTCTGTGATTCTATAATTAATGGGTTAGATTAATGGGTTATGACATTTTTAAGCGAAGATAGGTGTTACATAAGGAAGATCGCAATAATATTAACAATTTATTTGTCTAAGTCTATTTAAAAGTGCGTATTTCTACAGATGATGATTCTCTAAGCACTACCTCAGAAGACAGATCTTGCACACCAGTAGCAAAACGGATGGTTGGGACAGGTAAGCATTATTTTCCACGCATTTATTCTGAAACAGAATTGCATTGTAAGCACAGTACCACAGCTGGAGCAACCAGACCTCTTCTGTAAACAAAGCCGTACTTTTCTACTCTGACTCCAGTTAGCTTCATCACTAAACTTACAAATTAGTTTTGTAGCTCTGTTCCCTGTCATGAGCAAAACTTGCACTAATACTGTTGTTCAGCTTTGCCTTCTATACTTACCTGATGAGCAGTACCTGCCTACTTCTGAGTATTTTTGAATCTGAAGATTTATTCTTCTCTGCTGAATCCCCAGTAACATTTCCATTTGCATGATATTTTGCCTACTAATTTGAAACTATACTGGAAACCCATTTTCTTATCAATGTCGATACCTTATCACTTTAAAACTTAAGGCCTATTGCTTTCCTGCATGTACCACTTGGATACATCTGTCTTTAATTTGACCAACAACAGCAACAAAATTACACTGGCAATTGTGGCATTTTAGATGCCTTGGAGAAAACAAGAGATTTTACTTGCTACGTATTTTGCATACGTAACAGAAAGGTAATCATGTATGGATATTAACATTGTAAAATGAAGAGTTTCCTAATAAGAGATTATTATAAATATTAATTAACCCTTCAGCTGCTTACCAAACCATTAGCTACAATTACACTTTAATATATGTATATTCAGGAATATTCAGTTGTTGTTTCATTTATATTTTCAGACAGTCACATCCCCTTGGAAGAAGCACAAAATCACTTTAAAGTTATTACAGTTAACGATACTGGAGCAGGAAAACACTGGAGTGACAATGAGGTCAGAGCCCTGATAAACATATGGTCAGATGAAAAGATACAACAAATGCTTGAAGGGGCCACAAGAAATAAAGAAATATTTGAGGAAATTGCCAGAAGGTTAATGAAACGTGGCATAGACAGAGACTGGAAACAGTGCCGCACAAAGTACAAGAACCTAAAATATGAGTACCGTGCACTGCAGAAGGAAAATGAGCATCTTGGTAATCCCAGGAGAAAAATGAGATTTTACGATGAAGTTGACTGCATCTTAAGAAGACAGCCTCTGGGTCCCTCAGGCTGGGGATGTGAAAGTTCAAGTCTCCTATCAGGTACTAAAAACCTCAGCGATGAGACAAAGCATTTAAAATAAAACTTGAAGCCTGTTGACCCATGCTTTACGGTGAAATATGTGGCCAGAATGGGGAGGGAAAATAACTGAAAAGCCTGTATCTGTATGGTCACATAGGCAAAACTCAGTGAAGGGTAATGGTCTTTGGAGGAGTTTAGAAGTGAGAACAGTAACAAAAAGTGAAAGCACCTGAAGCTTTATTGGAGAATCTTTGTGCTTTGGAAGCTTGAGATACAGTGAAATGGTGGTAGAAAATGTGGCAGGTGTTAGAGGTGATCTAGTGAGGAATGTAAAGTCTTATGGATAGAGAGCTGCAAGCTCATACCATTTAGAACTGCAGAAATCTGTAACAATCAAGCAAAGTGAAGGAACTCAAAAAAGTAAACTTCACTAATTCAATTCACACTACAGCCAAGAGAGAAAAATCCAGGGCAGTGATGTTTGTATTATATAATAATATATAGTAACATAACCATTATTAATATCATTATTAATATTAAAATATTAATA